TTAACGCCAGGGGTGGGCGATTGTTTTGGCTCGGAGGCCACTTTTTGGGGGCGGAGGACCGCACCTTTTAAAATGATTGCATAGTTAACTTTGCATTTCAGAAAGATATAAATTGTACCATATAAATTCAATAAAATAATGGCAGTTTTATTCAATTTATTTAAATGCGAGACGAATCTTCGATCGCGCACGGGAAGGAAATCTCGGTTCAAGACGGATTTTTCTGTCTTGGCGGGCCACAAAGAAACTCTTAGCCGCTATTTGCCCACCCCTGCCTCACGCGGATGTCTTCGACTTTTGGCAGGGAATCTCTGAGAATAGTACGGGCGCAAGGAACACGCCCGTTTAAAATAAGCTGTGACGCAAACCGATCGATCTATCAATCAATCCGTAAACCGCATCGCGAATAAGAACACTTGTTCGTTTTGTCTCGACGGCGTTTCCCTTTAACAGCGTCCAACAGACACCAACTGTGTCGTCTCTAATGCGACAGGTGAAAAACACGCGGATACCCTAACGAATCTACCCCGGCGACCATTTAACGCCACTCTTCGGGCAGGTGCAACCGTCAACATTATCCTCCGAAAATAGAAAATCATTCGACTGCTATGAACTCGTGAACAATTCAAAGCTACGTTAATTTACCTACGCCTTCTCAACCCTCGGCGAACCTGATCGATCCTCGTTGTATCGCATGATTAGCGATGGCTCCGAGTATTTCGCAAGCAGTCCAGCCAGGTATTTTGGGAAATGGAAACGATACTGGTTCGTCTCTAGGATACTTCACTCCGCGAAAGGAAGAAGGGATGATTGGAGGGGTGACAGGGTTCGATCGATGCTTTCTCTTAAAGAAAACACTGTTGTGTAGCGATCGTTACACACGAGACGCGAGCATGTGTAGAAGAGAGATCGAGTCGATCGAGAATCCCTAGGGTTGAAACACGAGCTCGGAGTAACGAGCTACCTAAAATCCGTACGTTCCCGTAGTTTCCAGGGTATAGAACGGCGAAACATCGGGGCGGCGGAGCGAGGGGCGCGCAAGTAGGGTTGAAGAAACTCGAAGCAAGATAGAAAGGGATGGAGGGTAGGTTGCGGAGAGGTGACGGCAGGTGAATGACGTCAGAAGGCGTACCGTGACGTCGGAAAGTAACCTGAATTTGGGACTGCTGATACCCAGGATTTTTCCTCCACCGTCCCTGGTACTTCATAAATATTTCATTTCGTTTGAAAGTCAAATCCTTCGCGAGTTATTTTTATCAAATTTCTTTATTACAGTACGAATTTTCCCTCGTTATCTGAAATTGTACTCGTTAATCTTAAACCCGTGGGATACAGATAAATGTTATTAATTTCATTATCTTTTTTAAACATGCAATTATCGCTGAAATTTTACACTAGGCAAACTCTTATTAAGAGACGAGAAAAAGAAATTATTTGCTTTGGACGTTCAATGGTACAGACATCAGGTGTATGTAAATATGCGTTAAGAAATTAAGCCGCAAATAGATGGTTTCGCTATTTTTACGAATCACAGTGACGTCAGAAGAAAGAAGGAAGAGAGGCAAACGTATGGATGTTAGGATTAACACAAAATTTGGAAGACTCGTCGACCGGTTCAAAGGAAAATTCGACTCGTGCGAAAATCGATGCTTTCTTAATCGTTTCGTTATCACGGTAATTATCAATTTTATTCTTTTCGATTGCGCCTTGGACGCACAGAGCGCGTCGCCCCTTTCGAACGAATTCGAATCAACCCTTCTTTTCTGCTCGCTCGTTTTCCACTGGTTCGTCCATCGAGCAGAAAAAGGGGCAACTTGTGGGCTCACGAGGGGAACGTGTAACAGGACGTGACCCCGCAACAGGGAGAGGAGGATTGGAGGGTGACAGGAAGGAAGGAAGGAAGGAAGGAAGGGAATAACAGGGGTTTGCCAGTGCTACACGTCATTGGCATTACTTTCGCACCGACTAAAGTACTCGACGACCTACTAACCGTCCTACGAAACACGATCGTCATTAGAGATCGTAGAAAAGACACATCCTGTTATCTACCGCGCTCCTGTTATCACCGTGAATATTCGTCTAACACAAACGTATGGTAAGCATTTATTTTCACGGGTCGAAAATATTTTCGAGCAGACCTAAGAACCTTAACACGCCGACACGTTACAGACTTTAGATAAGAGAAATTCTTAGATAACATTAAGTACGGTCATTAGAATATCTTCTAAGGAATGTTAACCCTCGGACAGCGGACCATGGAGAGAGCCCCGAACATATTATAATATTTTCATTTTTAGTCAGCAATTTTAACTTCTACAGTTATCAGCTGTTCAGAATGGACGATCGTCGATGAATTTGTAGCCCTTTGACCTTTTAGTTACTAAAATGCATAATTCTGTTATCGGGTTTACTTTGGAGCCTCGTGAAAGCTTTGTCAATACAGACAACTATACGAAATTCATGTTTTCAGTGCTGATATAACAGATGATCGTGTTGCAATCGATAACGTTACTCGAGGCGATCGAGATTTGATTCGTAGTAATTGGTCAGTGAATAGATACGTCCATATATCGGTATCGATTGTAAATGTTTACGCATCGTCGTCGCTGATTTCCGCGGTTTATCAGCTGGATCAGTGAGTCACTTACAGCCCGAACGAAATCGATTTCTTCTGAATGAAAAGAGCGCGGAGGGCCGATAACAGATATTATCGCCGGCGCATCTCTCTCTCTTTCAAGTGGTACGTTGTCAATTGAGTAAAAGACACACCACTTGTGTCTTCAGAATTCCAACGACTTTATACTTCGAACCAATTAAAGACAATTAAGACAGCTGCTATTGCCGCAATTGGCCGGCCAATCGCGAGATACATACTATCTCGTACTCTAGTGAACATGTTTTTTTATTTTATTATACAAATACGCATACTTTGTCAGCGTCATGACCAAGTCGCGTTTATAAAAAAATTTCTTTTCTTGTTCGGTTGGTTTCCTAAAAAAATTATCACAGCAATAATATTTTGTATTCGAGCACCAGTGAAAATATTTACATTTTCCTTTATCGCGACAAACCGCGTCATATTAAAATATCAAAATGGTCGGCAATACAGATAATTTCGTACTGTTATCGATTTTATCTAAAGCTTCAAATTAGAAGAACGATTCGATGCATTCGCGAAGAAAAATTCCTGACAAAGAGATACGGTTAGAAACGCGTTTCCGTGAAAACCATTGTAATAACGATTCAAGGCTGTGAAACTACTGCGTTTTCCTTTGTCGTCTATTTCTTCAATGTGATTCACTGACAATGTAAATAATGTAATGTAAACATATAACAAAGTGAAAAGGAAAAAATTCAATATTTAGTCGTTTCTTAACGAAACCTTCCACTTATGGCGTCTACTAACTTTTATTAACCCTTAAACAGCGGAGTCTGAGCCAATAGAGATCCAAATAATTTTTCTGGCAACAGTGTAAAATTTAGAAAATGGAAGTAATATGTAATACAAAGTTACATTAAAATTATGACTTTCTCCATGATCTGCCACTCGAGAGTTAACTTATTCCCATAGTCCGTGGATTAAAAGTATGAAATTTAGAAAATGAAAGTAATATGAAATACAAAATTATATTAAAATCGGGGCTCTCTCCGTGGTCCGCCATCCAAAGTTTAATTTATTTCCACCATTCGTGGATTAACAGTGTAAAGTTTAAAAAATGAAAATAATATGAAATGCAAAATTAAATTAAAACTGGGGCTCTCTCCATAGTCCACCGTTCAAGGGTTAACATATTATTTCGTTCCCTTTAGATACGAATGTAATAAAAATTTGAACAGTACAACAAGGGTTGACCGTTAGTCGTGGATTCATCGGCCGACTAATGTTTAGCCTCGAGCAATAATTAGAAAAGCTGAACCGATGATGAAAGTGTCATATTTTCGGAGAACACGTGTACACCGACGTACAAAGACGTCGTCGCGCGGTATTTTTACACCGCGTATTCGCGTTTTTGCAAAAAGCGTTGCCTCGTGTTCCCGATTACAATACCGTTTGTTTCCGTGTCAATTTTCGACCACGGATATTATGCAGTCCTCCCACTTTTTATTACTCCCCTCGTGTCGCCGTATTGGAATTCGAGCGATCTAATTACCGCTTTAACGACGTCCATTTAAATCGACAAATTTTCGCGCCATATGTATACACCGTATCTTTGACGATACATAACGCATGAAAAATAATTTTTCTTCATTTTCTTGTAGCAACAACACGGTACAAGTATGGTAATCGTGACAATCGTTATCGGGAGGAGAGCTTTCAAAACAAAAGATTAAAGCAAGGAGATAAGATCGTTGGTACTTCGGTGATTTAAACGCGACCGATGTACACATTCATAATAAATACGAAACGCAGCCGAGCATTAATAGATAATGTGGCTCGCAACACTGTGCGAATTAGTGGTTATTGATCTCCTATGTAAATTTGCAGCAATCTCAGATATCGCTAAGCAAGCAAAAGCTTTTTTTTTTCTTCAACGCCAATTTACACTGTATATGTATACTACACGAGCCGTTCCGTTCCGTAATCAACGATTTTCGTACCCGTTCGCATCGTGAAAAATTCTTGAACGAGAAAAGTACGGTTTAACATAGCAGGAAGAATCTCGTTATCGCGTGAGCCGGCACTGACTCACGGTCGCCAAAGTCGACAACTCTAAATAGTATCGTTATAAATTCTACGTTTCCATCCAAGGGGATTTCCAACGAGTTGAAACGTTAAACGGCACGAAAGGAGACACGGTGGGTAACGCAGTCGATATTAAAATAACCACGATGACGGAACAGGAAAATTTGACAGTGTAGCCTAGGCGGCCGCCATGTTGGCTACTCGTATCGAATCGAAGGGCTAGTCAGGGCCGTTCGTTCTAACGTTCTTCCAAGTGGAAACGAGTTACGAAGAAAAATCACAAATAATCATGAATTGAAATGACGGTTAAACGTACCTGGAGCTCCCTAACGGAGCTACGATCGTCGAAATTCCCGGCTCGGTGTATCGGCCTCTCGTACCCACGAACAGCTCCTCTCTCTCGCTCTCTCTCTCCCTCCTGCTGCGGCGGGCCTTTTTCCTAGCCTCGATTTCTCACATCGATGACTATGCACTTTCCTTTTCACACCTCTCTGTTCCCGAACAACGTCTCGACACGCCACGAAATCACTAGGCAATGATGCTCGAACGATCGGGACGAGTCTGCTCCACCACGAGAGTATTTCGCGACACTACTGTGACCGCCACTTAGTTTAAGGTTATAACCCGTCACTGCTCGAACTTTCAACGACGAACACGAACACAAACGTGTACCGCGAACTTTATCAACGATTCGAACTAATGCGACGGTTCAAACGATTGTTTTCATAAATACAAAAAACTTCACGAAGCGAGCGGAGCTACTATTGCTGATACTGCTTCTGCTGCTGCTGCTGCTTCACGGCTCTGGCGGGCGGCAGGGCGGGGCTCCGTGCTTCGAGTCCCGTAGACCCCGTCGTACATCCCGAACTCGCCGGTCCACGAAAACGCCCGAATCACCAACAGCGCCCTCTTCGGCTATTCTCGTCATCCGCCATGTTCGAACACTGCTCAGACGTCGTTCGTGTTTGGCGCCATTAGCATACGATCCCGCGAATTGTGCGAAAATACGAATTCGAGATGATTCTCAATCAATTTTTTTGATGAAATAGTGAGTGTGAGTAAATATTGTGTTACGTTGCACTGTCCACTAACAGTTAAGGAGGAATTTTTGGCGAAACATGCAGTACTTCTCTGAAGAGGAGCTGTGGAACGTCTGAAGCGTCCGGTTATATGGTGAGTTGTAACCTTCCACATGTTTTTGTTGCTGTTTCGAATACGTTTGGAGGTTGACATGGATTCTTGATTGTATTTTGCGTGTACAATGATACGTTATTGATAAATGATTGTTTTGTATATACGTATTTCGTCTAGGCACGTGTCATGATTTAACATAGTACATATGTCGTATGCAATCGTGTATTGTATTAGGGTTAGTCATATATATTTGTGGCAGTCAAATTGTCTTCGACTGAATCAAATTCTTTTTCCTCGTTCAAAAATATCATTCTGGAAAACATTGTTGGTAACATAGTTTAACGTTTATATCAACAGCAGTTTTCTCAAGAATCCATGTTTCAATCATTTCTGCCACCGACGAGAGACAGTCTCTCGTCTGTGTTTCTGCGTAGTCTGGCGTTGTACCTGAAGATGTCTGATTGTAGGAAACAGTATTACCAACACATGATACTAACGTTGCGTCCCAATTTTTTCAAACGTATAAAAGAGACAAAGATCACCGTAATTTATTTTCCATTACGTTGAAAATAGAAAAGAAAATTATCTAGTTGATTAATTAGAGGTTTGTTACACGAATACCGGGAAATAATGAACGCTTGAAATAAAAGGGTTATTTCTAGACAATACGTAGTAGTATTTGCAAACTGCTAATGAAGTCGATAATTTGCAAAATTGTAGCTGACACGTAAAACTGGGAACCGTTTGTCTCGACGACTAATTTGCTCCGTGCACGTTCTTTGTTAGAACGCGATGGTCCGCAACGATTTATAATTAACCTCGTGTTCGAGCACGAGTACAACGATAGAAGCATAAAGACAATATGTTAGGGGAACGTATTAATTAACATATTCACCATGGGGTCACCATAGACCGACATCTCAAATGTTAGGCAATTGGATAATTAACAAAAGAAAATTTGTTAGGGCAGCAGTTCGATAACTTTGATTAAAAATTAATAATAATAAAAGATAGCATTTTGAGCAGGTTCTTTAGGTTCTCGACATTAAAAAAAATTTGTTTTTTAATTATTCCAATTCACGCGATACTAGATTAATTACTAATACGTTAAATGAAATTTACGTATCCTTGCTAACAATAAAATCCTCCACCTATACCATCTTGACCATCTTGGTCGTTCGAAGAGGCGAAAATGCTGAAGCTAACTGGCGCAATAATCAGAAGCAATAATTTCTGGCCATTCTTTACGAAGAATCCACATTATCCAGGACTTCCTAGCTGTACATCCGACCGGATTCCATCGGAACGAGGACGACACGGTAGAGAAAGAGAGGCAGGACCTTATCAATATTATCACTGGCTGGCGAGAGGGGTATGATAGGGCGGCGTAATCGGGTGGTGAACGATGCTGGTGGGGGTCAGGTCGAAACGACGCAGGCGCCGCGGACGACCCCTCTAACGTACCACCAGCGTCGTCTTCGTCGTCGTCGCCGTGGTGGTCGTCGTCGTCGTCGTCGTCGTCGTGGTGGTCGTCGTGGTCGTGGTCGTCGTCGTCGTCGCCGAAAGAGAGACGTCGGCCCGTTTCGCTTTGCATCGTATTTTCAGTTCCAACTGAACGACGGCGACTAACGAAACCACGGGAAATCGCAGTCGAAAACGAAAGAAAAGGAAAAAAAAAAGAAAAATCATTGTTCGCCTTGGTCGGCGTTTTGCTCGGCACGCGGCTTCGAGGTGCCTCTTCGCCGGTAGACGCACCCGATTAAAAGGTGGGAGCACGCGGGAAAGCAACAGTGTTGATCGAGCAACGGTGGGCCGTGATACGGTGCCGGTGTTGAATGGAATTCCTTCGCGACAGAACGTTGTTTCAGTCAGGATAACAGCGAAGGACGTTTAAAGTACAGTGAGACGCGAGGTAGATAGGTTTGTTCGGCTCGCGAGGTGTGGTGACTCGAAGAGGACATGTAATTCTTTGCTAGGATAACATCGTTGGGAAAATGTAGACCGCTGGCAGAGTTATAATAGAAGATATGCTAGCTTTCTGGCAACGGATCTGGTTGGGAACAGTTGTTCGTGAAACAGTGCTTTAGGTGGACAGTGTCAGTGTCCGTCGCCAACAGGTTACAATTTCTCCGATGAATAGTTCAAGAGATATCGAGAAAATTCGCAGGTCCCTGGTTATTTCGCGAAGAATGAAGAAGAAGTACAAATACGTTATTCGACCGATGCTAAATATCGAGCTGAAATGCACAACCGTCTGACCCCCGCGGAACCAGGACATTCGATTGCGGGGTAGTGTGCGTTCCGATCTCTTATCGTGAACATCGAATAAAATCAATCCATAGAAACCATCAAGCTTTGTTATATCGTGCTAACGCAACTACGAATTCCACCACGTGCCTTTCTCGTCGTGATCTCGACGGTGTGTCTCCTTATTTCCCTTCCACGTTTCCTCATTGGCCCCGCGGTTTCGTTTTCCTCGCCACCGCCATGACATCGTGTTACCCTTTCCTCCGTAGTCGCGATCTCGCTGCCGCGAAACAGGTGTCAGGATGCGAGCCATCGGGCGCAGATTCGTCGACGGTGTTGGATCATTGAACGCGTGGAAAACGACAAGACGCACAGCACGGTCAGAACATTTCCAAGTAAGCTAAGCGATCGTGGAAATGTCCGCACAATGCGCTTCAACGAGACGTGCACCGTTCATTCCTCCGGATGTAGAGAAGCTTGACTTCCAGCCGACGAGGTCGAATCATCGCCGGATTATTCGCGGATCGTCGTCGCGATTCTGGGAGGAATCGTTCGGACAGATTTCCGATTATCACGAAAGTACACCCCTTTCGTTGTCTTAGGATCAATCGGGCGAGGACGAATCGAAGTAAGAAGGTCGCCGTTACGTTCACCATTCGAACTGAACTACCATCGTCGAACGGAATACTAGTCCTGTTGCACAAACGAAGATTCAACCAACGATCGGTTGAATCGTTAACGGCAACGGCGACGTTTTCCAGATTCCTGGCATCCTGTTCTGGAATTCGTGGGAACGCCGCGAGGCGCAGGGTTGTATCCCACTATAAATAGATGTTTTCTCGAGTTGGATCGTACGTCTTGAGCTGGCCAAGCATCGGAACAGAGAGATACACAGACACACACACCTACGTATACAGAGACGAGGATCTAACCTCGTGACACGCATGTCGGAGACGTCGGGAAGATCGAGCTTCTCCTTGTCCTTGGATCAGCCAAAGGATCAACCCATGTGTCGTTGAAACAGCTTGCTCGGATTTTGTAGATTTATCTAGGTAGAAGCTTGTAACCGGGGTCCAAAGGAAGTCGAGCAAAGACATCCAGCCTTTCTTGCGAGCTGAAACGCGCCATCGACTCTGTCCACATTTGAATTTTGTACAAAGAAAAAAAGAAAAAGAAAAAAAAAACACACACACACACACACACACAACGATCCTATCCGCGAAGAGGAGGCGATTTAAAAAAAGGAGTTAAAAAAAAGCGGCGTGTTAAGTGGAACTTTTGTTGGAGTGGCCACGTCCTTAAATTGTTTACTAAGCATCATCTTTTGTATGTACGACTAGCAACGAATCTTCTTCATATTTCTTCGGCCCTGTACGTTGTCGCGACGTGACAGCGAACGGGATTCAGGAACGAATATCGCGACGAACGTCGTCGATCATTTTTTTAGCTGGTGCTTCTCTTTGTCCTCGACGAATCATTATGCTCAACTCGTGCTGTGCTTTTTTCTACCGTGCTTGTACGCATGCTGCGAGTGTTTTTTCAGTGGTCTAGTGTTACGCGTTAATTGTTAAACAAGGCTTGACAAGCCTTCGATCGAACGCCAACCACGTCTCGTCGGCCCAGGTACCTGGGAATATTCCTGAGATGCCTGTTAGACGAGGACACGTGGCGCCTAGGACAACGATTATCGAAACCATCATCAGGAAGTTTGACACTCACGGTGAGTTTCGACGCGAAACCACCCTCTATTGAAATCTAGCAATTTCCATTTAGAAACAGAAGAAAGAACGCAATGTTTCTTTCAATCGAATATAATTAACCCCGTGGTTTTTTACTTTTCAATTATCCCACAGCGTCATTAGAGAATAAGATAGCGAGACGAAGAAAGCATTAGTTTTCATTATTATCAAGAGGAGAGGGAGGTTATTTGTCATTGACAGTAAAAATGTAATTGCATAGCCGCCGGTTCGGTTACCGTCAGAAACGTGATTAAACGAAATTACGATTCTATGCTTCCTGTACTTCGTTTCGCTTAAATTAATCCTCCATTAGTTTATCGCCGAACTGTTGGCGCGCTGATTAAACAACGATAAACGATCGCGTAGCGAGATGTTTAACAGATTGATTGCTACGTTGAGACTACTTAAACTTTTTACGATCTAATAATTAGCAAAAGAGGGAAGAAAAGGCAAACTTTGAGTAGGATTATAATTCTATAATAAACGAATGGAATAAGACGAAATTGATTTCGACGTACTTTAAAAGTATATCCACGAAAACCGCGGAAAGTTTAATGAAATTCTTTCAAGTGTCGCGACTTCCTTCCTCGATGGAAGATTAAAATAAAGTTAACAGCCCGCAGGATTTGTTGTATTTGTTCGACTCGATATAATAAATCGAAGTTTCGGGAAGAAAAATATCAGCCGGCATATGGAACGAGAAGCAGGCATCGAGCCAGAAACTCCGTTTTCAATATTATTTAAAACATCTCGACGAAGGCGAGGCTTTGTGATAGGGGAGGAATCGGTTAAATGGAGGAAAGGGGTAGTTCTATTTCACAATGGGACAATGCATGTCACTGGCAATATCGCTCGAGTCATGCCTGAAGTCCTTGCAAGGGAAGAGTACCCGGAGAGAAAACCGACAGGGCTCGGGGGCTTGGATTGATCGTGGTGAAACCGAAAAACATCCCCTCTGTTCGATCTCTTTATTTCCCATTGTTTCTCCTCTGCTTACCGTTTCGTTAAGAACTTTCTTCAAAATTAATTAGATGCTTACGTTGCTAGGGAAACAGGAATACTGTTCCAGGGTTAATGGACGATCATTCCATGCTGTTAGATAATCTTTTTGTCACTACTCCCTCTCAAGTTTCGCCAGAAGATAATGGATAAAAAGCGATGGAAATAAGTGGACGAGGGTCGCGTATCGTTGCTCGTTGACAAAAGCAGCGGCTGTCGTACAGAAGGGCGCGCGGTAATAGGCATTAACGCGATAAATTCTTGGGAAACCTTTGCAACGCCAATTTATATAATAAAAAATATGTATGCCAGCCCCTTCAGGGTGGGCTTTTGTCCCGGTGGCATTGCTGCCCGTCAAGCCTTGGCTTCTAATCTGACGTTCTCTCTATAGCACTCTCTGTATGTACATCCAGCGTTCGCTCGTTTCTTCTTCTTCTCCTTCGTCTTCTTCTTCTTCTTCTTCCACTTTATTTTATCCCTTTCACCTTTCCGTACACCCTTCTTCATCGCCGTAGTCATCCTTTCGATACTCTTCAGCTGTCTTCTTGTATCCGTAATCGAACGGGACGTCGGAGGGCAATCTGTTTCACACGCGGAAACACATCGTCGAATCGCGACCGCACAGGCCTTGAAAAACTAACATAATTCCTCGCGACCAGCGTGTAATCGATGATGAAGCATCTACGACGCCCCAGAATTTCCTTCGCGAATAATAAACCAGCCATTCAGACGTTTCTTGGACAAGGGTTCAGATTTCTTAACCCTACAAGCGATCGATCTATGTTTTACGTTTAGGAAAATCGGTTTGCTCTAGAATTTATATGATCATACGAAAATCTCAGAAATAATTATTTTGCAAAATCATAAGGGAGGAATTCAAGAGTAAAACTTTTTTCCCTTTATTTAATTTTATTTAGAATAAATAATTTTTGAAACAAATTTATCGACTAAGAGGGCCCTCGGCGACCCAGAAATCTTAATTCAGCCCCGTGCCATGGGGTCACTGATATCAGAAATTTTGAAAAGAAATTGAATAATATTCCTTTCTTTGAATTCGTCGATTCCTGCCCGTTGAAAGGCACGTTTAATCCCGCGAATTAATTATTAAGAATAATTGTGCTATTAATCATGTCCATGGGTGATATTCGTGTCAAGGACAGGTGGTTCGTTAAACACACCCTGAATTGTGATCACGCGTTCGCTACACAGTCGAAAATGTGACATCTGGAACCTGGCACGGACTTTTCGTTTCCGTGTATGGAACTATTAAAAGTCGACAATTAGACCTGCGCTACTTTAAATTGTATTTCACGGTGGCAGCCCCATTATCGCTGTTGTTGCTTTGGAAATTTCATCCTTATCCATCTACCCCCTCGTTTTACAACGATCTCAACGTTCGATGAAATTATCAAGCGAACGAACAATTTTCTTCGATCTTTCCCGCCGATAAATTTATTTTCTACCATATGAAAAGCATAACTTGACGTGGTAATTTACCTTGTATAACCAACAGTTGGGAAACACTTGAATCAGATAAAACATGTTACAGTTCGTGTTGATATTTCTAATTATTCAAACTTTCTCGAGATATCAATCGCGAATGGGGATTTGGTTTTTATAAATACTTGGCTACGTTTCCGAAAGTTAAATCCTCGAAAATTCAATAGTTTGAAGGATTAGAATTGGGTCTTCGATCAAGAGGCGAAACTAAATTAAAACGAATTAACATTGTTAATATATTTTCTACTAACTCTTTAACAACTGGCGCCGGGGTAGAAGGAAAAGTTTTGATAATTTATTAAGCTTGTTTACGCTTAGTAAATAGCTAACAGAATTCGATAATTTATTAGGCTTGCAGCGGTGGATTAAGGGATGATCTAAGAGAGTCCCACTTCGATTAAATATCAATTAATTTTATTGAGAATCAAGGGTGGCCTTTGAAGGTTTCGTAGCCCTGGGACCTTAGAAATCTTAATTCGGTCCTGAGGCTCGCTTCTGTTTTATTATAAATCTCTCTCTTATTTTTACCAATTATTCTCAACTATACAGAAGTTAAAATACTCTAATGTACGAAAATCACGGTCTGAAATCCATAGCGAACTTTCATTGCATTTATCAGCCAGTCGATAATATTTGTCACCATTTTTCACAGCTCATCGCGAGTCAAAACATTCGTTTATCCTATATCGAACAGATGATCGCGAACAAAATTCATAAATTCCATCGAGATCGTCGGTGATTCATTGAAACGACGAGGCACCAGGGACGGCTAGATCGAGATCTCTCGTGGAAGCTTTTCTGACCCACTTTTCCCTTCGTTTCTTCACGAAAATCGTGCGGTCGCGGGGATGGGGAAAGAGGAAAAAAGAAAGAGAAGCTTCGTTCACGTCACGTGGCTTTGACCGTCTTCCAACAGTTTCCCTCCGTTTATCACGATCAGATTCAGAGATTAGAATCGCCTCTGATAATTCTAGGATTAACGGGCATTACTTGCGACGGTAGACTGCCGTGTCCGCGTTCCCGTTTCTTCGTTTCTTCGTTTCTTCTTTTCTTGTTCTTCGTTACCGTTTACGAGCGGCATACGCGTACACAATAACGAGGATACGCGCGGAGCCGCACGATAAATTCGTCCAGAAGCTTTGGGCTTTTGCCAGGATGGATATTTAAAATTCTCCGCGGTCCTCCGCGAATTTTTTTTTCTTTCTCCCCTGGATGAACGGAGAAGGTATCAACGCCTTGTAGCTTCTATAGACCTTAATGGAAGGGTTCATCAAGACCCAATCGATTGCTATAATTGCTCCCGGTATATTATTCACCGAGCGGTCTATCGCGGAGGCGATTAGGAATAATTCGATGGCATTGATTTTTCCCTAATGCCGGATACGAATCGTGTTATCCGATATTTAACCCTAAGTCTAAGCAAAGAATTTCTAAACAAAAGATTTTCATACCTTCGTAAAAAGAAAAAAAAACGAGTATTTAAATTTAGGCGATGGTCGATAAATTGAGTTCCAAGAAAATTGGCCGGAAACTTGAAATTGTTCGGTTGCATAATATTTCGAGGGAACGCTTTGGAAATGACTCGATCGAACGGTTGATGGAATGTAGGAAATGCGAAGAAGAGGCGGCTAAAAATAATCCGAGGAAACACGACAAACCGAAACTGTAGCAACAAAAAGATCGCTGCTTTCATTTTCATGTAACGTATACTCGCGTATTATCGTTCTGTCGAATGGTTCTCGTGAACTTTTAACGAAATGTACACCCTTTCTCACTGCACCTACGCAAACAGAGCCACTCTAATATAACTTGAAGCTAATTAAGCTCATAGAGTAGAATAAATATTTTTACAAGATGCATCGCCTAAGATTCTTCTATCTAATTTTAATGTTATGACGAATCCCGTAAGAAAACAACGAAACAGAGGAAGCTCTCTAAAAATATTGATAAATATATTAAAAAGGTTCTAATTAAAGGCCGTGTTTCTGAATGGTCTCCCCAAAATTGAAAATTCAGGTTCGGTATATAAGCTAAATTGACTACAAGGAACCGATTAAAGTTGGTTTCAGAGCTAGATGTCATACCGTTTTCGAGATATCGTGGTAAGGTTGGGTTATGTTGGGTTAAGTTCCTTGTGCGCACAGTATCGAATAGCGCATGCGCAGTATTGAATAGCGCATGCGCAGTATTGAATAGCGCATGCGCAGTATCGAATAGCGCATACGTAGTCCCAAAATTGTACAAAAATTTCTTACCACGATATCTCAAAAACGATAAGACATCCAGATCCGAAACCAATTTTAATCGGTTTCTTCAAGTCAATTCTCAATTTTGGGGGGGCCATTCGGAAACTTATCCCTAATTAAAACGCATAACGAACGATGAATTCGTTCCGACATCATTGGAGAGTAGACGCACGTGTGACAGCGTCCCTGAAAAAGTTTAATGGCAATTTCAGTGAAACGTCGAACACATTTGAAGA